GAGAAACTGGATCCAAGATATATCAGACCATTTAAGATCATCGCAATAATTAGTCTGGTAGCTTATAAACTTCAACTACCACAGGAGCTTAGTAACATATACCCCACCTTCCACGTATCCAATCTAAAGAAGTGTCTATCCAACAAGACTCTTGTTATCCTACTTGACGAAATCGAGGTAGATGAGAGTATCAATTTCATCGGAGAGCTAGTGGAAATCATGGATATGGAGATCAAAAGGATGAAAGAAAGCCACATACCAATAGTAATGGTCCATTGGAACGCCAAGCGAGGACCTAAATTCACTTGGGAACGAGAAGATCAAATAAAACAGAAGTGCCCACATCTTTTCCCCAAGCCTTAAGTCCCACTTTGAATGCTAATTTCGGGATGAAATTCCCTCTAATGGGGGAGATGATGTGACAACTAACAAAGTTAGAGTCAAGCAAAGTCAATGAAACCACATCTTAACCTTGTTGCAATGAATCATCTATAGACAAAGAAGCATCATTTGTATAAGCATATATATATATATATATATATATATATATATATATATATATATATATATATATATATATATATATATATATATATAAAACCATGTTGGAATGAACCATTAAAAGTCAAATAAGGTCAAGGAATAAATGAGTCAACAAAAGTCAAATAATTAAGCCTTAAAGCATGAATTATACTTTGTAAGGAGGGTTTTTGACTTTTAGGCCTTATACCTTTGAGTTTCGGTCACATAGGACTGAAATCATCTTCATGGGATCTAGCCAGGACTGAAAACACCTTATCTAAATCCCATTAAGGCTGAAATCTCATTCTTTCATACTTAAACCGAAATCTCGTCCTTAGTTGAAGCTAGGACCGGAATCAACATTTTAAAGTGGTATGCAAGTGATTTCGTTCATGCCTTGACCGAAATTACTCTTAATTAGGCCGAAAACTCCATAGGATTTAGATAGCTTATGCAATATGATTGGTTGACTCATTTACGAAAGCGATATATTACATTTACCAACGTAAGTGTCACTTCTCTTACACAACTTCACTTCCATTCTCTCTCAAATATCAAGTCTTATTTTCCTCTCCAAACTCATGAATTAAACATCCCATGGAGCTTTTTTCCTTCAAGGTTGTTCTTAAGGATCATTGTAAGTTCCTTATAATCTAGTGTTTATGCAAACCCTTTATGTTAAGTTCATCTTATTCACACATTAGTATGTGTTAAAACTCTTAGGATTCAATCATCTTCGAGTGTTCGTAACTTGAAGATCGCCACCGTCACTTCGTTATCAAACCGCATATACAGATAAGGTGAGTTCATACCCCCACATTTTTCAAGATTTTTCTATGTTTTAGGAGGGGAATTCAAGTAAAACATAAGAATACTTGTGTAAATATACAAATGATGTCTTATTTTTTCTTATATTTTATATAAAATTTTACGTGAAAATGTTAAATATGTAAAATAACGTTACTACCAAAATTAAAAAAATTTACACACAAAGTAGCTAAAACGCAAAGGTTTTCATTTCAACCGAACATACGTTTACAAACTATAATAGGTATAGTTTGTGGAATATTCACGCTATTTTACCATTTGGGACAAATAAATAATCATATCAAAATATAATTGTTTTTACGTTACGAAAAGGTAATACATACATTTACATGAAAAATTATTTTCAATTCATTTTGACGTAAGCATATTAATCAATAAATTTGTGAGACACGTCTTCAAGTACTTATCTAAGTACCAACAAAAGTCTTTTATTATTACCAGAGTTTTCTGGAGGGAGAGCGTGACACTTGTATATAGATCTATATTGGACTGACAATCTCGCACCTAAACTGTTAGCTATAGTTAGACTGGCAGGTCTGGGGTAATAAATGTCATAACATTCCGACACTTGAAGAACGTCGTCACAGGCCAACTAGTCGCTAGCATGGTTATAAAAATCTCACATGAGATATTAACGCCATATTTTGGTTTACAAGGCTAATAAACACTTAAATGGTTTTATATATACTTATAAAACTACATACACTATTTTAAGTATGTAAAATACATATACATTTCGGTCTTGGGACATTTAAGACTATAATTCATTTTATAGAAAATATTGGATTTTCTGGAACAAACACTATCATTTCACGAACAAACGGCTTACAACTCATTTTATGGAAAATATCATATTTTCTGGAAATGAACATGATTACTTTACATGGAGAGGTTTACAATTACTCATACAAATTCTTATGAACTCACCAATTTAATTGTTGACACTTTTTCAAAACAACTTGTATTCTAAGGGAACCAATAAAACAGGTAACCGCTAGCTTTTGAGGAAGGGACGCTAAGACGTAAGTTAAAAACTCATTTTGTCATCCTATTGTAATTTATTTGAAAACATGTAACTCGTGCAACAATATAACCTTTTAAATTATATTTAGGACACTCAAAAATGCATATCCTAAATCCTTAAAATTTTGGGGGAGATGATATTATTTTTAGAACATACAGTATTAGTATTAGATATCGTAAATCATTGTGTGCTATCGTTTGCATGTTATTAAAGGATTATATTGTAGTAATGTTGGAGGCCTAAGCAAAAGTTAAATTAAAGGCATGTATCTTTTTTGTAATATATTATTAAGAAATTTCTTATGGTAAAAAACAAAAATATCTACTACTTTAACAAACATAATTTTTATTGTTTATAACATAAATGAGATTTGTAACATACAAGTATACTTTAATTAATATTATTATTATTATTATTATTATTTTCTTCTAATTTTGTAGTAATATAATATTTAAGAAAATTCTCAATAGGAGGTCCCTTACAATTGGAGGCCTCGTGCGACCGCACATCCGCACGGCTCCCATGGCCGTCACTGATCACTATGATCAAGTGAACCACGTTAAATATTGTGTTCTTTGTTTTTTGTTTGTGTTATTAATCTACGTGCAATCCTTTGTATCGTTTTTTGAAGTACTTTACTCCTAACATAAAATTATTTTCAAATTTGGTTGTATTTATGTAATGTCACACACCCAAAAGAACATTCTTCTAATACTTTTCAAAAACTTCATAACTATAGAAAGATCTCTAAATAACAAAATAGAATACAATGAAAGACTATTCAAAAAAGATTTTTATCAATATAAATCGATCTGTATCCTAAAGATATTTCAATTTCAAAGAAAAGCTTTCTCTTAAACTTATGAACAACGGAATTTTAATTTCTTGCAAGCAACATGTTAATTAGCACCAACAGAAATATCTAAATATGTAAAAAGGAAGGGAATAGATTCACAATTTAAGATACACTCCATGTGTGAAGTCTCTATATTTATACCATCGATACCGAAAACCCTACTTTTGAATTGGTTAAGTTTTAAGTCGGAAGCAAGTGGAAACTGGAAAGCGCATAGTATTTAAAAAAAAAAAAAAAAAAAAAAAAAAAAAAAAATTGCTCAAACACCATTGAACCATAAAAATAAACTGCTACGTACATCAAATGAGAAAAGAATATGACGAGATAATGTAACACCGTGGAAATGTTCATCTTTCTAGCTTCTACCTTGTCTCAACCCCATTTAATAGGAAATTCGAGAGTAAGAGATAAAACTAAAGAATGTCATTGAAAGATAATATCATATTCACCCTCACCATTTGGAACCAGGTCCCATGTGCTCCACATTCAAATCAAAAAAACCCCAATTATTTATCGAGTCAAAATATTTCTCAAAATCCGTTTTAAAAACACGATTTTTTTTCCTTAGAGGATTTAGCCAATTGAAGATTTCGTTGACCATAAGAGGGTCATCTATAATGCTTATCCCTTCATTATTATAAGTTGATTGCTCAACAATTAATTTACTAGAACCTAAGTTGATTGCTCAACAATTAATTTACTAGAACCACAAATATATAAGATTCTTAGAGTACCAAGAAAAGTAATACTATATGCAGTTTTTTAATCCATTCTACCAATGGAATTCCATAATTGTTTGTAACACTTCTTGACTAACAAAATTATAATTTCCAGAATTAATATTTTCATTCCTCCAATTTATTTCTTATGTGACTGGGTTGCCTCATATTACATTTATAGACGTATTCTCTGTCCCTACGTTTTCCTATTATTAATGAACATGCATAATGCATTAGAGGATCTATGGGGCTTGGACCCCGCTTGGATGTGGATCCCACTTAGACAAAAAAATAATAATAATTAAATAGAACATCCCTCCCCACTTAAGTAATTTTGGCACCATCTTTCAAAATTTCATATATTTGTCTGCATACATTGGAATTCCTTTTTAATGAAAATAAAAAATCATTAGATATTGCATTATCAAAATAAAAGTGTAATTATAATACGTACAATGAATTCTTACATCAGTCAAATCTAGTATTATATATACATACATATATGAGGAGAAGATAAAACGTATTGTGGTAACTAAATTTATGCAACAAAAACTGATATAAAAGTATAACAATATTTCACACTTTCCAGTCGTACATTAGAAATGATACAAAATATATATTTTGCTATATAAAAGACGGTGTTAAAAAATTAATAATGCATCTAAATTATGCGTGTCATTGTGTGTAAGAAACATACTCCTCAAAACGCTATTAAACTTCTGAAAAATAATATATTTTAATTTATGATGATTTCCGAAAGAATTAAACCGAAAAGTACTACCTTTTCAAATCAATATTATATTTTACAAATTGTTGTATAATTTTGTTACTCAAAGGTATATCTTTTTTACATTGAAGTTTCCATTTTGACTTTCTGCCATCCCATGCAATTATATATATATATATATATATATATATATATATATATATATATATATATATATATATATATATATATATATATATATATATATATATATATATATATGTGTGCGTGTGTATATGTATATATATATACACCCCTCACCACCTTATTTCCCATTCAAGTTTACAAATCCTGATCATATCCTTGCTTTCAAGTTCCAATCTTCTCATGGGTCACTCAAATATGCTGCATGCATACTTTCTTATACATTTCATTATAAACAGTTTTGTTTTTATAACACCAGGGTCATCAAGGCCATGGCCACACACTTTATTCCCATCATCACTCCCAAATGAAGCCATAGATACAAACCTTTGTACAGACACCAGTTGCATCAAAATAGCCTCTTCAGATTACGGAAATATCATTCAAGAACTCCCCTTCGGCGTTCTATATCCTTCCTCAGTTTCCGATATCAAACACCTGGTCGAATCCTCTTACAATTCCACTACACCTTTCACTATCGCAGCCCGTGGCAATGGGCATTCAGTTAGGGGACAAGCCATGGCGAAAGATGGGGTGGTTGTGAATATGGGATCGATGAGTAGTAATGAAAACGAAAGGATTTCTGTTAATGGAAACTCTTCTTTAGGGTTTTATGCAGATGTGGGAGGTGAGCAGCTGTGGATCAATGTCTTGGAGACGACACTTGAGCAAGGACTCGCACCAGTCTCTTGGACGGATTACTTGTATCTTACCGTTGGTGGGACACTCTCTAATGCAGGAATTAGCGGACAATCATCATTCCATGGTCCTCAGATCAGTAATGTTCTTGAAATGGATGTCATTACAGGTATTTTATGAAATCCGTGTCATTACTATATATATATTATATATAATTTTGTTGCCTATCGTTTAAGTTTAGGAAAAATGATATTTATTTCACACTTGTGAGTACATAAAAAGTTGAATTTACAACGCAGTGAACTTTACGATTAATATGCAGAAGTAGTTAAAAGTCATGTTTATAAATAGGGAAAATGACTTAAAAACCCAATGAAGTTTCCTAACCGTTTAAAAAACCCTAATCATGTTTTGTCTGTTTAAAAAAACCCAACAAACTTAACATTTTATCTAAAAAGCCCAATTAAGTTACACTTTCTCAAAAGTCAAATAAGAAAAACAGATGACGTGGCTTATTACCGTATCGGAAAACTGACTTGTTAGACCAACGAAGTTTCCAAAACGTTTAAAAAACTCCAATCATGTTTTGACTGTTCAAAAAAAAAAAAACCAATAAACTTAAACAAAACAAAATTGGAATTTTCTGAACGGTTTGAAACATTGTTGGATTTTTTAGACAAAATGTTAAGTTCGTTGGGTTTTTTTGAACAGACAAAACATGATTGGGGTTTTTTGAACGGTTTGGAAACGAAGTTTTTAAGTCATTTTCCCTTATAAATAATAAACAGTAGGATTAAAAAAACAAAGTCCACCCTAAAGAACGTGTAAATTTGAAATTTTGATATTTTATTAATTTTTTGAGACTTCAAAATGTGAAGGATTAGAAGATTTGTCGTGTGAATTGTGAAGTCCTAAACTAGATTTTTCAGTTTTTTTATAGTTGTGTGATTATAACTAATAGTTATATTAGTTGTAACTGGTTGACCTGACTAATTTAAAAATGTTCGAGTAGTTTGTTTATTTTGTAATTTTAGTTAAATATCGTACTTTTAGTTATTAATTAATTAATCCATGGGTCTAAATTGATATATTTTCACCTAAATGAGTTGAAATTTGACGATTAATGAACTACCATTTTTTTGTCTTATTTACAGGGAAGGGGGATTTAATTACTTGCTCCAAAAACATGAACTCTGATCTCTTCAATGCTGTTCTTGGTGGTCTTGGCCAGTTTGGGATCATAACTAGAGCAAGAATTGTTCTAGACAAGGCACCAAACAGAGTAAGAGCATGTCATCTTACATCATTTTTGAGTTTGTTGCACAATATTCGTGATTATTAACACAAAAGAATTAATCACTTGTTAGTTCGTTAATTAATATGGACCATGAATTAAAAATTTGTTTGGTGATTTCTTCTTTTTGTGTATCATAGGTGAAATGGGTACGACTAATTTACAAAGATTTTTCCAAATTCACCAAGGATCAAGAGCATTTGATATCAATTGATGGGTTCGATTATGTGGAAGGCTCTTTGATCATGAAAAATACTCCTGCAAGCGATTTTTTCTCGCCTTCTGATAAATCCATGATAAACTCGCTGGCATCCGAAAATGGCATTTTATACTGCTTAGAAGCAGTCAAATATTACGATGATCATATCATAAACACCATCGATGAGGTTAGTATATTAATATGATGATTTTTACATTGTTCTAAATAACTTCTAAAGTTTTATTCTTTTTGTAGGAACTTGAAATGATATTGACAGGATTGAGCTTCGAATCTGGGTTTAGTTTCAAGAAAGATGCAACTTTTTTCGATTTTCTGAATAGAGTAAGAGATGAAGAGCTTCTGCTTCAATCAATAGGGCTATGGGATGTCCCTCATCCATGGCTAAATCTCTTCATTCCAAGATCAAGAATTATGGATTTTAATGAAGGTGTTTTTGTCGATATTATTCAGAAACAAAACAGGAGTAGCTCAGGGCCATTCCTCGTCTACCCAATTAACCGAAAGAAGTAATTATTGATTAATCACATCATTAAACAAATAACCATATTTAATCTTCCAATTCCACTGTTTACACATCTACTTAATTTCTTGAAAAAATTCAGGTGGGATGATAGTATGTCGGTAGTTATACCAGAAGATGATGAAGATATGTTCTACACCGTTGCATTATTAAACTCTGCTAAGGATTACAAAGATTGGGCGATTATGGATGAACAAAATACGGAGATTTTACAGTTTTGTGATAAATCTGGGATCAAGGTCAAGCAATACTTTCCACATTACAAAAAGAAAGAAGAATGGATGAAGCATTTCGGCAAGAAATGGGATATCTTTAACGAGAGGAAAGCTCAGTTTGATCCAAAAATGATACTCTCTCCTGGACAAAGAATTTTTAATTCTGAATGAAGTTTTTATATGTAATAACTATTTTATGTCGCATTTATGTATGAAAAATAATTTAGGTAATGCACTTTAGTTTTTTTAAATGTTATAGGAATAATATATATATTAATTAATTATGGATCAAGAACACTTTAGGGTTAATTTGTTGTAATATTGGCATATATGACCCCATATATTAATTAATATAATATGTATGTATGATATCTATACTTTTGTGAGAATTGAGTCTTTATTCACGAGTCAAAGAGCTTTTGATATAAACCTTAATTCTTGTTTCCCTAAAACCAACACCCATGACCCAGCCCCCCACATCCACAGCCCACCAACACACGAAACCCTAAATCAGTCATGATATTTGTTGTACCAACAATTGTCGTTATATATAATGTTATATGTATCAAAAGAAATTTAAGATCGTTTGCTTGCTACTTACGTAGGAGCAGTTGGTCTGCTTCTGTGCTACGTCTCAAGGACAACTTAGTCATTAGATTCAACACTGGTTTCTATTTCTGTTTAATCAAAGTTGATGGGCAATTATATTTTATATATTGGGAGGCTTATAATATTTATTCATACGTAATATTTTCAAATATTAATATATTCATTTAACATCTATTTATTTATAGGGAAATCTACACAAAAATTCCAAACTTTTAGAAAAGTTTCAATAAAGTTTTAATTTTTTTTAGCAGAAAAATCATATTATTTTTAGAAAATCATATAATCTGTCATTTGTTGGTTAAATATAAAAAAAAAAAAAAAATCGTTAATTTAGACAAAATGTTAAGTAATTAAGACTTTTCTATTAAAAAAAAACTTTTAAGATTTTATTAAAACTTTTCTTAAAAAAATTTGAATTTTTCTGTAAACTTCCCTTATTTATATGTGAATAAATATAAAACTTTATATTACATTTTTTCTATGGAAAACAATATTTCATTTACGTACAGCTGTGATTAGAAAATTAACAAGCTTAGTGTCACTATTACCAACATTAGTATCACAAAGGAATTACGGTTCTAATCATTCACGTAGAAGGTGATTATGGCAATGAGTTAGCTACAAGTAGAGCCGTCAAAAATCGATCAAACCTACCAACCTAACCCGAACCCAACCCAATATTAACATCTTGGGTTGAGATTTTCAACTCATTAAATTAAATGCGTCAACCCATCTGTAACATTCCAAATTGAGGTATACTTCGATAAACTTAATCTTTTATGCAATTGTCAAGACTAGTCCTTAATTGAGAAAAAAGTGGCAATTGAGTACGCGGGGCGTATGCATGTTTACAGGCATCGTACTTATGTGCTTTGCATGATCACGGAACTCACCTAGTACGCTAGGCGTACCAGAGGGTACATTGGGCGTACTATGCTCAGAGTAAAACCCTAATACCCTCTAGTGCCCCTATTTAATGAACATGATGGCCTCATTTCTAGCCTCCAACCTCCCTCAAACCCTAAATTCGTGTTCCTTGTTTGTGTAAGTGTTTGTGGCTTATTTAAATGTTCTTGTGAAACTTTTGGTGAAGAAGGAGCTTTGAAGGAAGGATAACTTGTGCTTCTAACTCTTGGATCTAAACTCTACTCTTATTGGTACATCTTCCAGAGATATCAAGTTCGAATCTAGCTTATTATTATGTTAGTTCATGTTTTGGATCCATTTTTAGGGTTTTATGTCCCAAGTTTGGAGCTTTATGTGTTTGATGAACTCCAGAGTATAATTCTTGTCCTTTTAAGTGTACTTGGTTGTCTAAACTCATAAAAATGGGATATTGGTCGTCTAAATCTCTCCATGCATGAGTTTTATGGACTTTTATGGTAGGAACATTAGAGTTTGTGATTTTGGGACTTATTCAGCGATGCTAAAGCATAAAGTCCACGATTTTATGAAGCAATGGACCTTATTATGCTTAGGTTTGTAGTGGTAACATTTGTCTTAACAGATTAAGACCAAATGAGGTGAAGAATGGAAGTCTGAGGAGTACGTCGTGCATACTACTAGTTACGCGCAACGTAGCACTAAGATAACCCCGATGCATGCATGGTTGCACACCCAACGTCAAGGGCTATACACCAAACATACTCGTTGAATGTTGACTTTCATTGACTTTTTAGCCTTTTCCCAAATTATAGACCTTTGATCAAAGAGGGGCAAAATGGTCTTTTACCCCTATAAGATTTTGTAGAGAGACTCAGTCTAGCATTCAAAGGCTATTAGTAAGAATTATTAATTAGAGTTGAATGTGATATAAATAGGCGGAGTCTAGACCAGTAGTTCGGGTGCGAGATTGTTTTCTTTCAAGTGAGAGGTGAGTCTTCTCACTATACTTATCTGTGTGATAACTTTTGTATGACCGGATGTGTCACACCCCCAAACCGGAACGACGTAAACTTTCGAGGGTGGATGACTTCATGTATAGTATCACAACAGTTGCATCATAGTAATCGAAGTAAACACAACCATTAAATTGAGATATGAATATTTACATCTGTTTGATACAAATTTGTATTCATCAAGAGTATAACAAAATATAAAAGACATGACTCTATACGCTCTGTCCTCTCAAAATGCTATGGGAGTACCTGTCTACTTATTTCCTGAGAATACAAGCGATTTTGAAAGAGTATCCACATAAAGCTGGTGAGTTAATAAGAATGATTTTGTAGTGAAAACCTGTCATTGAATTATGTAAAAATGTATGTATGTTTCCCAATAAAATCCAATATTATCTTAAATATATGTTTGTTACTGTGTTCTCAGTTGTGTATCAAGTAATGGTTTGTATGTCTGGCTACCACAAGCGTATCGTATATCATTGTTTCGAATGAAAAAATCTTTTGTGAAAACCTTGGCTATTACCAGTAATGTATAGAATGTTCTGAATGGTATGTTTTGTTTAGAAACTCTGGCTACCACCAGTATGTACAGTATGTTCTATTTGAAAACTCTGGCTACCACCAGTATGTTTAGTAAGTTTTGTTTGAAAACCCTGGCTACCACTAGTATGTGTAGTAGTTTCATTATTTAAAATAAAACTAAGTATTGAAAACCGTGCCTAACTGTAGCTAGCAGTTTAAGTGTGGGATGGTCAGTCCCGAATAGATCTATTCACAAATCTCACACTCTCCCTCTAGGAGACTCTGGTTACACTAAACGTTGAGGATTTTACCAGTACCCCGAAGGGCACAAATGAAGAGTTGTTCCACAATCCTATATTAACTAGTTTACATGTAGTTCTGTATCGTTTTCTCGTAATTGAATCTGTTTGTATACTTGGTAGAGTATTAATAATTATACTTAAATAATTATTTGGTGTTATACTCTTGTTAGCCGAACGTAGTAACAAATATTGTGAACTAAAGTTTTCGTAGTTTATATGTTTGCCCATGTATATAGGCTGAATCGGTAAAAAAAGTGTAATGAATTCCCCAAACTATACCCATTATAGTTTGCATGAAATGTTATGTACTTGGTTTGTGAATTATTCAGAATACTATGTAATTATGTTTTCAAGTTGAAAGTGTCCCTTATGCTAAGCATATCACAAAAGAGATCAAATATCTAAATATTTTATTAAAATGTGAAAATCGTTTGACTGTATCAATTGTATAAGTTTTAAACTTGTTGAACTCCTTTTGTTTTAGTTCACAAAATCAATTGTGTTTGGCTTGTATTTCCCTTCTGAAAAATTTTAAAAACCATAAAATCATAGGAGTATGAACTCACTGTTAGTTGTACGCAATCGTCGAATCAACGAACTGGAAATGAAGACCCTCGAGTTGTTTTATGTTGCAATTAACGGAATCCTAATAACAATTAAATACATATATGTATCTAAATTAGCAATTTCGTTAAATAAAGTGTTTGAAAAAGACTTGCTTTCGGTTAAGGAATGTTACCCGGACTTGATTGAATTATAGAAAGTGGGGTTTTCAGTCAAATTCGCCACTTTGGAAGGGTTTGCGGAAGTGAAGGGGTTTACGGCCGTGAACTGTTCTTGGCCGTGAACAGCCCCTTGAAGGGTTTACGGCCGTGAAAGGTGTTCTTGAAGGAAGTATAGACTTTTGAAGGGTGTATAGCCGTAAACAGTTTGCGGCCCTTGAAGGTTTGAAGATTTGAAGGGTGAATGACCATAAACTCATAAACAACAACACTTGCTCTCGAAGAAAAACTAATGATTTGATGCTCCAAAATGAGTTCCAAGGAGGTTAGAGTGTTAGATGAAGAGAAATATGGTGTTTCCTTAAGTTTTCAGGTGATGATTTTTAGAAAGAGAAGGTGTGCTCATGGCCAGAAAAGTTCAAATGGGGGACGGGGTCACGTATATAGGGGGTTTCATGGTCGGTGGTGGGGTCCACCAGCCGTGAACCAGTTTATGGCCGTAAACGGGCCTACGACCGTGATCGGGTTTACAGCTGTGAACTCCACTCAGGCCGAAAACTGGTGATTTATCGAAGAAAACTCGGGTTTTTCGTCCGATTTTTGGTTCTGACTCGTATATAAATTTAATGATATAAAACTTAATGATTTTCCAAACCATAGAAATTAACGGAACAGATAAAAATATGAAATTTGTTTAGCGGAAAATGGCTAATTTTAGCAAATAAAGTTTCGGGTTGTCACATCATCCCCCCGATAGAGGGAATTTCGTCCCGAAATTCAAACATAGAATACTAATCATGGACTCAGAAAAAGATGAGGATGCTTCTGTTTCATTTGATCTTTGCGTTCCCAAGTGAATTTAGGTTTCCGCTTGGCATTCCAGCAGACCTTCACTATCGGTTTGCGACTTTGTTTCGTTCGTTTGATTTCTCGATACATGATTTCGACTGGTTTTTCCACGAAGTTAAGGTTCTAGTTGACCTCAATCTCATGAAGAAGGATCACAAGGGTTTCGTTGGATAAACACTTTTTAAGGTTCGAGACGTGGAAGATGGAATGAATATTGTTAATCTCTTGGGGTAAACGAAGTTTGTATGCTACCGAACCGATCCTAGCGAGGATCTCGAATGGTCCTATCAATCTCATATTCAACTTTCCACACTTTCCAAAGCGTATCATGCCTTTCCAGGGTGAGACCTTCAATAGAACACGGTCACCAACTTGGAACTCCAAGGGTTTTTCGTCTCTTATTGGCGTAGCTCTTTTGTTTATCTCTCGAAGCCTTTAGTCGTTCCCGGATTTGTACAATATTTTATGTGGTTTCACGGATGATTTCCTGGC